TTGGGGTATTAATAAGGTATCGAAAGAGAATTGATAGGGAGAATCGTAGAGGTCTTTGCTATCTCGTATTTCTTTCTTTCTCGAACCTTGTAAAGCTTTGCAGGAGCTTTCAGATATTATATAGGAGTATATACTGATATTATCTTCGCTTTCTGCCGAGCAAACGATCGCGCTATACCTTGGGGATTCGGAGCTCGACTTTCGCGTGCTGAATAGCATTATAACTACCGGGACACGATGACTTTTATTTCGCTTTCCTATACATACCGAATATTTATCTGTGCCCTGCGGAACTGGACTTCGGAGATGAGCGTTTGCGCCTGATTTTCATATGCTGAATAATATGAAACGCCAGGGAACGATGGTTTCGGCTGCGCTTTACTATATGGGGCGGTCAACTAGCTGAAGCGCACTTTGCCCTGCGGAATTCGACCTCGCAGATGCGCGCTTGCGCGTATTTATAATATGCTGAATAATATGAAATGTCAAAGAACGATAATTTCGCATTGGCTTTCCTCCATATATTTTCAAAGAGCTAAAATATATTATGTCCTATGGAATTGGACCTCGGAGATGCGTGTCTACGCCGATTTTTCATATGCTGAGTAATATGATTCGCCAGGGAAGGATGGTCTTGGCTTCTCCTTCCCGCATAGTTACGTATATTGTGCCATAGGGATTCGAATTCAGGATACAAAATTTCGTTATAGGAGAAGCCGCTGTGCCTTGCGGCTGGGATACGAAATGCTTTTTGGGATATGAAACGACGTGCGCTCGTATATATTAAATATATCAATGGGGCTATTTGTAGCTATTGGCTCGCGCGTGACCTTAATTTTGCTGATTTATGGAGATATATTTTTATGGGGTCTCTAGGGGCTCTGAGATCTCGGAGGTATTAGAATCTTTCGGAAAAACTAGAGCCTTTCAAATCTTCGGGATTTTTGACGCGAATAATAATCTCGAGATTTTAGGTCGTGCGATCGATTCCGGAGCGCTTTTCTACGTTATTATCTTTCTTTTTGGCAATCTATTCGGCATAAAATATATATAATATATATATTTGGAATAGGAATCTAAAATCATTTAGAATTTATAGAAAGGCCGTATCTATTCTCAGAAATAGATACGCTCTTTCGAGCCGCCGCGCAAGTAGCCCAAGAAAGATAAATGAGACGGGAAAATCGAATTGGATCCGAGGGCTCTTAAGATTTTGATAAATTTCTCTCTCTTCGGCTATATATGCGGCGGCGCGGTATAGACCCTGGGCAGAAATATGAATTTATTTTCAATCCATTTGCTTGGCTGGTTTTGATTGATTGAGGAGATATACGTATGGTCTTATAATATTCTATATGATATATTTCCTTTTAGATGCTGATATCGCTACTTGGAGGAAATACGGAGAATAAAAAATTTTGAGAATTTATAAATAGACCGTATCTATTTACGGAGATTTCTGAATAATAGATGATATATTTGCGGCAAATTTATAATGCGTCTCATTTCTATTTATGACCGATCCATAGGATAATTTGCTCACGGTCAGATCTATTCCCATATATATATATTTCTCAATTATTATATTATTTGGCCTAGATTATATCTCTAAGATCTTCCTGCAGGGCAGTATGCTCGCGGGCAGATCTATATATATATATATCTCAATTGGCATTCATTTGCTTTATTACGTAAGCAATTTGAATTATTCTCGAGTGAGAATTTCTTAGAATCCAGATCCCAATCGTCAGTATGCCTATATTGTCAATAGATCTTAAATTTCAATGCTCCGGAATGCTCACTAGATCTGAAGATGACGAATATTTGAAAAGAATAGATAGAATATTAATATTGATTAAATATCATAGGCATATATATCGTATTAAATTGAAGTCATCGATAAATGATATTCTCCCAATCAATAGGGATAGAAGCGGCGTCAAGCCTATTGATATCTATGAATTCCTAGGAGATATTATCTCTACAGATTGGCTTGAATCCAGGATTGTTGCCATTGCAGGATTGTTGCCATTGCTGCGGAGCCCAGCAGCGACGCCGATCCCTCATAGAAGATCAATTTTTCAAATATGCAGAAGGATGGCTAGGATCATTGGACATCAATCAGACCAAGGCGTTATCTTTGGCAGGATCGTATTCAAATTACGTCTTACGATCTTTTGCGCAAGAAATTCAATATGATGGGGATGAAGCAATCTCCCATGCAGGATTCCTCAATCTTGAATTATTTTAGAAGCGAGATGCTGATTTTCATCGCGCAATAAAAGGACGGAATCTTCTGAGGAATCCTATCCAAGGACGTCTTCCGTAATTATGAAGATTGAAGCAAAGGATAGAAAATATTATTCTCCAATGAAGATAATATGAATTCCAATTGATGAATCGTTTATATTATATATAGATTGCCCTCAATGCGTCAGATATCCTCGTAGATTTCCTGATCATCAAGAAGAAAATAATTATAGGGAAGAATATCCGCCAGAAAGCGCTGCCAAGCTAATATAATTTCGTATTGAAGTACTGCGTCCGTTTTGCTAGATGAAATCGAACGATTCATCCGATTTAATAGTCCGAATATACGTGGTTCGGAGGCAAAGATCCGAATAGATCTGAAAGGCAAGAATCAATTTTCCAGCTTCCGATATGTTCTTATCATTTAGATATATATTACATATATATATGAGAATCTTTATTCTTATATTCTTGATAATATATATATAGAATCCATATTTATTATCTGATAAGATGAAATTAATATATTACAAAGAGGCAGCAAATGAAATAGATTACAAGCATATGATATCTAAAGATATGATGATGAAAATGAGAGCAAGAGAGATATATCATACAGAAATTCCGAGAATTGGCGGAGGGGTGCCATGCGGGTTTGAAAGCAAATATTAATATAGGGATAGATCTCGGAGATATGGAGCTGGCTAGATAGATATTCCAGCTTGCAGGAGAAGAAATGAAATACTATAAGGATGCGGCGCCACTAGCTCATAATTTGGTTCTTATCCTCCAGAGCGTGATTCAAATAGAGCTTCTGTCTCCATGGGCAGCATCAGCGCAAGCTCCGAGGAAGGAATCTATTGCAGACGGCAATAAAACTTTCAGAATTCCACTAATGAGAAAGTCCAATGAAGACGGGACTATCAAAGAATCTTCTATTATATCAATGACCTGCAGAAGGAATAGGGCAATTGGATTATCAGAGAGATTCTTTGAAATAATGATAAAATAATTATGAAATCCTTCTGAAAGATTGGGACTTAGAGATTGGATCCTTTGAGCTGCAGATGGGGAATCCGGATAGATTATTTATATTCAGTATCTTGGGAATCAATAAATCCGGAGATTTGGCAGATTTCAACTTCTATGCCGATATGCTCCGGCGGCAAGAAGCTTTTGATCAAGCGCTTGAAGAGCGATTGGCAGAACACGACCAGGAGGAGGAAATTATTTCCGTATAACCGGTCAAGAGATAACGCAAAGCTAAACCGATACGTTATAATGCCACGAAATGAATAGATTATACGTCTCATCATATGCGTATCAGATTATAAGTCCTGCAAGAAATAGGAATCGATCCAGAAATCAATATATTCTTTGAGGGCATTGGCACGCCAATCATATGAGAGAAATTGATAAATAATAGATTCAATTTCTTCCGCGATATCTTCAGAAAATATGAATCCAAGGAGAGAAAATCAGTACGTAAGACCAAGCAGTGAAGCATGAAGTTGCCCAAGCATATAGGTACAGATTGCAGCAGGCTTTCCAAGCAGCCGCGCGGCAGGGCATTTTACTCGCCCGCAGGCATTATATATATTCTTGAATCGTATCTAGATATGCAATAGATTTTGCACGAATCCCGAATTTTCTCATTCTTCTGTATTTGTTGTCCTTATAAAATCGCTTATTTCATATGGACACGCGCATATGAT